TTGGAAACATTGGAGGCTAAGTACGATGAAGAGGATCTTGTCTTGATCCTATTATGTTCGTTGCCTGACTCTTATGCGTAGTTTCGGAACACCATTTTGTATAGTCGGGATACTTTGACTATAGACAATGACTATGATGCTTTACACTCAAATGAGAAGTTGAAGCATTTGGTTGAAGCTACATCGAGGGAAAGGAAACTCTTGTATCTCATGGTGGTCAACAGAGGGACATATCAAAGAATAACAACAATTTGTTTTGCTTCTACTACAAATGTAAGGGACATATTCGAAAGGATTGTGATAAATTGTAGGCTAAATGTGATTTAGCTGCAAATCGTGGAGCGCAACCTTTGATTTCAAACGAAACAAATGTAGTTGAGGATTTTTCAGACTGCGGAGATGTAATGTTGACCATGGTATCTGACATGGAATCTAGGCCTAACGAGGAGTGAATTCTCTATTCGACACGTTCGCATCATATGTATTCCAATCGAAATTTCTTTCAGACATATGAAACTGTCAAGCAAGGTGGAGTTGTGATGCGAAACAACCAGTCTTGCCATGTTGATGGAATTGGTTGAGTCAGATTAAGGTTGCGGGATGAGACAATCAGAACAATTAATCAGATTCGATATGTTCCTGAACTGAAAAAGAATCTCATCTCACTTAGTACTCTGAATGCAAAAGAGTATAAATTCTCTGATGGAGGTGGAGTTTTGAAGGTCCGAAGGGGTATCCGGATTGTATTGGAGGGATGGAAGAAGTCTCAGTTGTACACTTACAGAGAAGTACAGATGCAGTTAAAAGACATCGGGACAAGTTCAGTTCCATGGTGAATATTCAGTTTGGTACAATATCTCTTGTGATGGGCTCTGGGTCGATTCAGAACATTGTTCAAGGGAGCATTGGTGATTCTGCTTTGCCACCAATTTTCAGCGGATACACTGTATACATTTGGTAGTGTTAGACTCATGGAGCGTAGGTGTCAATAATCTTTTAGATACTTTTGGAGACGTTAATGGGCTTTTTGATCTAGCATGTGGTATGATTTCTGCTACAGGGTGTGCTTCAACCCTATTTGGTCAATAGTAATTTCTGGTGAAATTTTGGGAATCCAAGATTTGGGTTCAAGTGTCGCTTGTGGACACCTTGTGAAGGACGACGGTTTGATTTGGAGAGTTTTGGTTACTGTATTTAAGAGATTGGCTATTTTGATGTAGACAGATTTGAAATACTGGAGTTTCATTCGTTGTACCAGAATTGAGGTCAAGGTTGAGATTGTTAGGTTTGTGACCCAAATTAGGGTGGATTTTTTTTTTTTTAAGAAACAAATTGTTTCCTTATTTTCATGTGGAAAAATTTATTTCCTTATATTTCACGTGATTTTTATGGAAATATATTTTTTTCTTATTCCACATTATTTCCATTTTTATGCTATGACATGAATCTATAAATAGCAATGTTTTGAATACTGACTCAATCATCGACCCGAAAAAGGTGAAGGGTCAAGAGTCAAAAAATTCAATCGAGGTCGAACCGGGTGCAATAAATATAAATACATAAGAAATAATCAATTATTATGAAAACAATATATATATATATATATATATATATATATATATATATATATATATATAAAATTTTCATATTAATAATTTGATAATTTGATTTATTATTTTATAATTTGTTAACGTTTTTGCTATGTCACTATCCCACATTAGAAATTTATGAAATCATTGGAGAGAAGTGCGTCTATAAAATGCACTAACCCACACATTAAGTTTATAAAATCATTTAAGAGAGACGCATCCATAAAAGGAGTATGTCATTCAATATTTCTTCATGGGCCTTTGAATTGTTGTTTATGAGGCCCATTCAAGAAGTTGAAATCTTTTAAACTAGAAAAAAAAAAAGGAAAATCACAAAACCACAATCGGTTCACCGGTTTACAGTTAAACCAATCAGTTTTGCGGGTTTTTAAGCGGTTAATCGGACATGATTGACTTGATTTTGAGCCCGATTTCTGATTTTACTGGTTGAATTGGCCTAGTCGATTTTGATAACATTGATAAATAGTGGTCTTCTCTTTCAGTTTTGTTCAATCAAGAATTGTTGAGTTCTTCTATTTCTTTTCATATTGTCGATTAATGAAACGTCGTGTTTCTGTGATTAACTCTCTTTGTTAATTTTTTTACTTTTAAATTTTGTTTCTTGTTGTGATCTTCATTATCTCATATCACGTTATCAATCTCATTCACTATAATCCTTTTGGGTCCAACAACTTGTAATTGTGAGCGAAGAAGTTAAAAATAACGGATGAAATAGTGAAATAATAATTAAAAAATTAATTTTTTGATGTGTAAAATTGTTACCAAATGGGGTCTATGTGTGTTGATATATGTAGATCCCAGTGTTTCTTTCCTTTACCTATAAAAGTGGATAAATTGTGGGCCACCGTAAAGTTTAATACAAATAGGACCCGGAGAATTGAAAGCTGGAAACAGGAATTCACTCGCATCATCCTATCTGTAGACATTTTAATTTTTCAGAGACTCTCAGGTCCTGCTGGGGAGTTTTTTTCACCGATTTTGAATGACACCGTTTATGAGAAGAGGAAAAAATTGATGCTTGCCAATTTTTTTAGGCACCAATTTTGAATAATTTTAAAATCATCCAAAATCGATATAAAGTAATTTCGATTGATTCTCTTAACTCACCAATTCGACAGGTTTTGGCCGCTTCTCATATTGACTTTTAATTTTACCCAAAATAAAATAATTTTTTTCAGCCAACGTATTTTCTTCAAAACTAACTTGTAAATAAAAAATTATTTATAAGCAAAAAAAATTACATTAAAATTTAAAAAAAAACTTATAAGTAAAATATTGCTTATAAGAAAAGAAAGTTACATTATAATTAAAAAATTACTTATAAA